TCTCACGACGTTTCGGCCACAACGCAAGCAGCCGTCCTCAGGTGAAGAATATTAGGACGCTGTCTTTCCGACAGCCATGTTCTTCACCTGAGGACGGCTGCTTGCGTTGTGGCCGAAACGTCGTGAAATTTTTTATTATTATTTTATTATTTCCCTTCTACGTGACATTACCGAAAGAACCAAGAATATGAATCCCTGCAGTCACGAAAGCTTTAAATTTAAATTCGTCTCTCTCTCTTCCCGTGGTGGTGTGGCTTTTTCTGCGGGTCCTCCGGGTTTTCCCTACACATTTAGAATCAACATCACCACGCGTTTAAAGCATTTGGCTGCTGCTACAAATGTCCACGTGATAATCCACTTCGTGTAGCTATCGTTTGTGGTCAGGTCGCTTCTGAAAAAGAGCCATGTAGGTCAGTGCGCGTTACGGTGGCGAATTGTCTTGTAAAGTAAAGAAAGCTGATGAGACACTGCGTGTCGAGACCTGTGCACCGCGTCGCTTGCTATGAAACCAACGCTGCATGGGAGAGGAGGCAGTACACACGCTGGCCCCCACCACGTGTGAGCTTCCGGTCGCCAGTAGCCCAACATCATGGGTTCCGCTGCCCGTTGTTTATCATGTCACTTTGCCGGGCCGGGAGATCAAATTTAAGCTACCCTCTCTCGCTGCCTCTCTCTCTCGCTGCCCTCTCTGGGAACTTCTCTCTCGCTGCCCTCTCTCGCTGCCCACCGGGGCGCCACCGCTGCCGTCTGGCCACGGTGTGCAGTCTAAACTATAAACTAGTTTTGGTATTTTACCCAGGTGAGGCCCACTGAGCTATGTAGCTCTTTTGCATAAGCGACCTGGCCATCACAAGCGAAGTGGCTCATCACGTGGAGATGCATTGCAGCCCAATAGTGTAAACGGGTGATGTTGATTCTAAATGTGGAGGTGCCAGGCGAGGTAGTTCACATCTCACCACCGTGGCACCCTGTCGACACAATCCATCCCGCACGATCGCAACCGCCTCGGCAAACATCGCTCTCGACGTGAACTTGCTCCTCCTCCATCTCCCACGTAGCGCACAGAGGGACGCGGTGATAGCCACTCGCGAAAAGAGGGGCAGCAGACGCCGACTCCTCAAGCCTACGAGTTCAACTGACCGACTCCAGGCCCTAGGGCAGGAGTCGGCAACCACAATAACGAGGAGAGGTTTTTTTTAGAATTCGTAAAAAAACCCTCATTATTTCAAGAGCCGCAATGCACTGTGGGTGAATACGAGACGGTGGGTCCTTAATAAATGACGTCACGAAGCAGTCCTAAAAGAGCCGCCGCATGCGGCTCCAGAGCCGCAGGTTGTCGACCCCTGGACTCGGGGCTCAACTGCAGCCTGCAGCGTTTAGTTTCACGAGGTGAGAGAGAGCTCAAGAGATGAGGATGAGTGTCACCTGCAAGCGTGACCTGGGTCTCCCAATATGACGATTGGCAATGATCGTGGGTATCCAGACACCCCCCCCCCCCCAATATGTGCGTTGCTTTTATCAAAATCAGGAGATGAAATATTCTACAATTTCACATTCAGGTGGTCAAGCCAGCAGACAACCGCGCCCGGAGCACGAGCGGAGTGGTGTAGCATCACCGTCGTATTTGCGGATCAGACATTGCGTGGTTACACGTTGTACGGTCTGTTCTGGATGACCACAATCGCACACTGGAGATTAAATGAAGCCAGGAGACACGTGCAGTAGCATCACCCCCAATGCACGCGCGACCTGGGTGACACATCGGGAGCTATTTAACAACGGCAACGTTTGTGGATGGGAATTACAGAGCGAGGCGAGTCGCCGGTCTCTCCCGTCACAGATGTGTCACCCCCCCGCCCCGCCCCCGTAGTTGCCACGCTCGGTTGTTACGATATTTGCCCAAGTCGGGTGGTGGAGGGTATTCATTACATGGCCTAACCCAAAATCAACGATGAATCAAGGAGCAATCCAACCGATGTGGGTGGAATTTGAGCATTACTCACGAGAGCGCCGTTGTTTTTATTTGGAAACTACTTTTCTGACTCATGCCGAATTACTCGGGACGGCAGACATCCAAACATTCCGCAGCAGGGCCCCGCTAAGACCATCCCAAGCCGCTCCGTTGCCACCGCGGGTTCATTGCACAACAAGCCTCCTCGGGGTCCCTAACGCCACGTCCAGCGCAACCTCTCCCAGCGCTCGACCTCAGACAGAGCAGCCCAATCGGGAACGCTGCTCCGGCAATGGTCTCGGATTCTCGGCACACGCCACAGACACCTCTTCGCCTGACCGTGTCCTCGCGACACCTCGCGGGGTAGTAGCCCACGTCGACTCCACGCACCCAGTGTTCCCAACGTTTGGTTTCGAGTAAACTCCTGTCCCTGCTGATGAGACACCGAACGTCAAAACCGGCCCAAGGTGTGCTCGCGTGTGAACCACTGCTGCTGGGATGATGCACTCAGCCCCACAAGGCCGTGCGGTTGATGGGAGGCGTAAACATATTGTTTTATATTATGTGCAGGGACTGACTTGCAAGGAAGGCAAGGGTTGTGCGGAATGTTTGTAATTACGTGCGTAGCATCGTTATGGGCAGGCGTGCCGTGCACTAAAGTTGTAGTGCCTTACGCCGACAATCCCGACTCCAGGGCAGCCTCTCAGCACTCCGGAAGATATGGAGTGAGAGATGAAGCCCCCCGGTCCCTCTTCACTTCTCAAGGGAAGCGCGCAGTCGAAACACCTCAACTACACCTGCCAACCGCCAATACGGACATGGGCATCACACATTCCTGTAACGTTATAGAGACCCACTGACTCACATAGAGACCCATAGACTCACACAAAGACCCATATACTCACACAGAGACCCACTGACTCACACAAAGACTCGCTGACTCACACAAAGATCCGTTGGCTCACAAAGAGAAATATAGACTCACATAAAAACCCACAGACTCACACAGAGACCCATAGACTCTCACAGAGACCCATAGGTGCATACATAAACGTATAGACTCACACAGGCACCCATACTCAGAGACCTGTAGACTTAGACAAAAACCCGTGCACTCATGGAAATCCACGGACTCACACAGAGTCGCCACGCCTGGTGGATCGCGAGCTGCTCGGAACTGGGGGGGGGGGGGGGGGGGGCGCAGGTGCTGACTACACCGCTGCTCAGTGCGATCGGGCGGGTGAGGAGGTGAGACTCTTCCCCACGTGCTAAGTGGAGAGGTGCAAGCACAGCAAAACCCCGGTTTACGTCGGGGATGCTCTCCTGAATGATGCGACGACGAATATCGAAACGACGTAATTCACAGCGATTCACAGCGGGGGGAGTAGGTGGTGGTGGCGGGAGGCTGAGAGGCGACGTAAGCGTGGGTTGGTAAGATACACAAAGAATGTACTTGTGTTTGTATATTTTTAAGTGATTTGTTTACCTTTCCTATACTTTCCACTCCTGTCGTGTTTTTGCGTTGTTTGTTGTTGTTTGTTGTTGTTTGTTGTTGTTTGTTGTTGTTTGTTGTAAGCATCAGACCCGCCCCTACTGGATATCTGTGAAAAAGAGCTTCATCGCTCATCGGATTCCTCCAGTATATAAATACACATTCTGATTCCGAGATAAGCTCGTGGTATTAACCAAGGGACGAAGTATTTGCGAACGACGGTAAGGGTGGGAGACGTAGAAATGGGGGTATTACTGTACTTGTATTGTTTTTATCATTGTCACCACATCGCAAGGTCGCGAGTGCGGCATCGTACGGCCACGCTGGGCGAGAGGGAGAGGAGGAGGAGAGGTGGCGGGTCACGGGAAGCCGTTGCGGAGGCGGAAATTTCCTTCGTGACCGCCGCCGGAGTGAGCCGGGCACTGATGGTGCGGGATGCCGTGGCGGGGCCAGGGCCAGGGCCGTCTGTGGGCGGAGTTTTTGTGACCCCGGGATTCCCACCCCCCAACCCGCTCCCCTTCTCCATGCCACAGGGTCAATGCCCAGCTGCTCAGAGGTCAACAGTGGTTGCCCTTATGGATAGCCTGCTCCCTGCCACAGAAATGTGAAATTTCCACCACTTTAATGTGATTCAAAAAATGTTGCTGATTCTGTCAGAATGTTGCCTTCAGACCACTGACTCACAATTGCCGTGCTGGTTTCGCGATGTTACAGATGTGGCTATTTCTGTAAGTATAACTCACCAACATCTGACGACTGCAGCAACTGTTTGAACTTTCCAACAGTTGACCCAAGTGTGCGTGAATTATGTGAAACTGTCATCAATAGTTCTACAAATCAGGATGCCATGAACATGTTCGCTCTTGTTATACTCCTTCCCTTCACTCTTTTTTATTCCAACTCCGAGAGTGCTGTTTGCTGCTGACCGCTCAACGGTGTGTGCCTTTGGGCTAAAGTTATTATTTATTTTTAAAACCAGAGCCCACATTCGGTGCCCGTATAACTGTCGCAACGCCCTCAATGGTTCGGCTGACGACGAACACGCACTCAATACACACACAGGGTGCTTGCCAGTAATGAGTCACACTACCTCGGTGATTTCGTCAAGGAGCATAAACCATCGACACGCGTCATCGTCGCAGTTAATCATCGAACAAAACCGGTCACCGAATCGCGCGTTTTCGGATGCGCTTCTGCGGCCGTCTGGAACGCTCTTCCTTCCGATATTAGGAAGCCACCGCAGCTCTGCACTTTGAAATCACCTAGATTGAAAACTAATTTATTTAGAACTGATTTTTGTGTTTAGTTTGTTGTCCTTCCCCCGCACCTCGGATTCGCACGGTTGGCTACGTACGGTGCGAAAGAAATTCTACATACATACCTGAGCTACATCACTGGCTCTGGCCACCGCTCCCACAGTGGCGGGGGTCGGTGGGGGGCGCCCCCCCCCATCCCTGCCCCCCCTGCCCCTTCACCCCTAACCGTGCGCACAATCACAACCTCGAGCATCACAGCCGGGGCCACCATTGTCCTCGCCCTTTCCTGTTGTTTCCACAGGAAGCGTTATCTGCCGCCAGCGACGAGAGCCCATTGTTTGACCCTTCCTTTGGGAGCGCGCGTGCACAAACGCCAGAAATGACCGCGTCCTCCTCCTCCTCCGGGGCCGACTACGACCCGGCCGCCAAAACAACCCATCAGCAGCACCACCAGCACCAGCAACCCCATCACCAGCACCAGCAGCAGCAGCAGCTCCAGCCCCAGCAGCAGCAGCAGCAGCTCCAGCAGCACGAATGGCTGCTCGCCCAGGCGGGCCGCGTCACGGTCAAGCGCGAGTACGAGCACGCGAACGGCGTCGCGTCCAGGTAACGGGCGGCCTGACACATCGCGAGATGCGGCAACAAAAATACGAGCCCACCGGCGAGCGCGCGCACGTCCCTTCCTCCTTCACCCTTCCGCTCCTTCCTCCTCCTTTCTCCGCCTCTCGGGTGTGCGCAGGGACCCACAGTGCAGGCCCCCTGGCTGCCAAGGGCCCCGCAGTGCAGGCCCCCTGGCTGCCAAGGGCTCGCACGGAGGCCCGAGCGAGTGCTTGGGCCCAGCTGCACGTGACCGTGGCGGGTTTTTAAATCCCCGCGAGTGACGAGCACTTTGCACGGCGGCTGTGTGGAATGATGGCATTGATTGACTCGTTGCAAGTCAATGATTTGAGTGACACGCGACGCAATCATTGAGGCTACTTGCGGATAATGTAAATGACGTTCGTGAGGTATCATACAAAATATATAATAGGTTCTACCCTTTCTGGAAATAAAACCGGTGTTAAGATGTTCAGACCCCAAATAAACACCGATTGCAAGGCATCAAGTCTGCATGAACCACACATACGTGTGGCAGAACATGCAAACAAACATGAAACGAATTGGCCTACACCAGAGACAGCCTTTATTATGGCCTTGTCTCACCAGTGTCAGACCAGAGAACGTCAAAAGGCGATGCACGTGTACTGACATTGAATGAGTCACTGTCGTGCGTGCCGCGGGGAGATTGGTAGACAATGGGATTAGGGGTAGCAGCCCGTTCTACCACTTGGATCTGTGGGCAAGGCACGGAGCCTTCTGGGGGATCCAGAGGGGTGTGGGGCCGAGGGTGGAGCCTGGCCACACTGGGAGGGTAAAAGTCGAGCTCCGACTCACAGTCGGGGCTGCTGCGATCTGGAATGGAACTCGTCGTGCCGTCGTCGTCGTGATCTTCGCCCTCTTAAAGCTGTGGGTCTGGCAGCATGTTGGCTGTCCCGACCCGGCATAAAAGAGAGAGTACCTCTTACTAGTGTCTGAGAATTAGTACACGACACACGTGTCAGAGTATTAATACCTCGGGTTGAGCAATTATATCTATGGGACCATTGTTGATACTGAGAGCACGTACCTTTTATCAGCGGTGGTTTCATGCACTGAATTCAGTGGCATTGTGTAACTTAATTATACTAATGATTATGATAATTATGATGATAATAATTAACATGTTTATCCAGGGGAGACGCACTGAGTCGTGAGACTCTTTCTCTGGAGGGTCCTGCATTGGGTATTTATTTTAAGGCATTTTCAACCAACCAATGACGGGTTGTATACACGTGGGGATGACACCAGAGCAGCCGCAGAAACCCAATGCCTTGCATGAGGGGGCAACACTATATCCCCGCGCAGATGTAAACAAATAGTCCACTTTCTGGACTGTCGGCTTCTGGCATGCCATGGCATGACACCTTCTCGACGTCCACGCGGAAGGGAGTTTCACAACGTCTGTGTGTGCGGTGATCCACCAAGCCTCGCTGCTGCCTCCACACAGCGCTGGGTCAGAGCTGCCACGTGGGATAATGTGGTGCAACCATGCGTGTTCTATTCATGAACGTAAGCCCCTTTGAGCCATTCGTGGTGCTACATTCGTTGTTTGGTGTCTTTTTGATGCCTGGTGTGACCATCCCATAGGGCTGTATACTGACATGGCCGTACGAGCTACCCCCCACCTCCCCACACCCCGCCAATCATGGTCACGATTCGTTGTCTGCCTCATTGCGAGACATTGTTCTCTGTCTGCCTCTTTGCTATTGTTTCTTGAGTTGACTCCATTGCTTATATTATCTGTCTCGCTAGTACTGTCTGTCTCACTCCATCTCGTTGTACTGTTTGTCTTGCTCCATCGTGTTTGCACTGCTTTTCTCACCCTGTCTCGATTGTGTAGTGCAGTAGAACCACGTGTATACGAGGAATTCTATAAGGGCTGTTGCCATTTAATAAAACACTGTCACACTCAACATCCTACGTTCACACCAGTGTAGGTGCACTCTATCTCGGTCCTTTACCCCGGAAACAGAATACTATTTGGGTCCTACCCTCGGCTACCCTTTGGGTTCTCTCACTTGTCTGCCCGGAGCGGGAGTTCAGCCAACACCGCTCCACGACAAGGAGGGACAGACCCTCTGCAGCTGATCCTTACCCTGGCTCCCTACGACGACCACGCCCCCGTCACGGGGCCCCCCTTAAGAAGCCTTTGGGAGGCTCCTCCCCCCCAGCTCAGTTCCACCCATGTTCCCAAAGGTGCTCTCCAAAGCCCGTTTCATAACCCGTGACGTTACGTCATTCTTGATTGGCAACCCGCTCACACCTCCCTCTGCTCGCCCCTTCATTGGTTACTCACAATACTCCTCTACAATTGTACTGCTTGTATTGCTCCATCTCGTTTGTACTGCCTGCCTTGCTCTATCTCGTTTGTACTTTCTGTCTCGCTATGTCTCGTTTGTACTGTTGTACCCGTGCCATTTGTCCAAAAGTCGCATTTGTATTCACATGCACACTCGACATAATGAGTGATGACTCTTTGGTTCTTTCGGTAAAGTCACATATATAAAGATAAAATAATAAATTAAATAATAGTATACTACGACGTTTCGATTGCAACACAAGCAATCATCATCAGGTATAAAAGAAATAGCAACAAAAATCTAACCAGAAAACTATAGACAGACATATAAGCAGACAGATATCACAAAGATACACAGAGAGAGAACACGTATCGGCACAAAGAGAGAGATCGTCTCTGTGACGAGGCCTTAAATAGAGAGAAGGTGGGCGGGGCGGAGAGAGGGAGGGGGCAAAAAAAAATTAGCATGTCAATGAGTATGACGACGTGTGGTACGGTACGCAAGCTTGAAAATTAGGAAGACGACGCTTGAAAATTAGGTGAACGGGAGAGAGACACACTAAAATTAAATAACCTAGAAAATTATCGAAATGTAATGTAATGCAACACAGAGAGTCGGTCAACACACAATTAACGCATAGCCTGGTTGATTACGTATTTCAAAGATTGCTAAGTTAGAATTTAAGTGTGAAAATTCCAAAGAGAGGACACAGGCAGAGAGAGAAAAACTAAAAACCCAGAGAGAGAGAGAAGATAAGCTTAAAACTTCCCCGTAGAAGTGGTTCAATCTTAATTTGGAGCTTTCGTGACTGCAGGGATTACTCTTCGGTTCTTTCGGTAAAGTCACGTATAAAGATAAAATAATAAATTAAATAATAGTATACTACGACGTTTCGATTGCAACACAAGCAATCATCATCAGGTATAAAAGACTCTCTGTGTTGCATTACATTACATTTCGATAATTTTCTAGGTTATTTAATTTTATATTCTTAGGTTTTTTCGGTAAAGTCACGTAGGTAAAAACATTAAAATTAATAAAAGTAAAATAAAATAAAAATCACGACGTTTCGGAGGCAACACAAGCTTCCGTCCTCAGGTGGAACCGTCACAGCCACGACAGCTGTATCAAGTAAATGAGAGATTGCAGGAGCTAACACTCCGTTTATATAATGGTTGGAGAGGGGGGGAAGGGCCAAGTACAGCACACTTTTTATTCATATGGTAAGGTGAGGCTTAAGAGGGTGAGCCTTTGTTATGGTTTGTGACAACTAAACATGGTGAACATGGTAAACATGGTACACCTGTAATAGTTGTCTGTCAAATAATAAATAAGATTGGTCAAATAAGTGTAGTTAAATCTTTTTTGCATGGTTAATCACATCTTTCCAATGATTACTCAGTTTTTAACCATCATCACGGTTGAAATTATGTCTGTGTTTGTATATTTGTATGGCTTCGTGTACAAACCTTTGATGCTAGCTAGGAGGTTTGCAGAGAACCTTGGTCTCGGAAAAGACAATTTCATGAGAGCCCACCGAGTTGTAGCAATGATCGGCAATGGCCGAAGAAACAGTTCTGCCGTGTTTCAGATCTGACTTGTGCTCGTGGACACGATCAGAAACATGACGTTTCGTTTCTCCAATGTAGCAATCACCACAAATGCAACTCAATTTGTAGACTCCAGGATACTGTAAGTCAGGAACGACATCCTTCACAGATGGAATCAGATCACGGATTTTATGCACTGTATCTCGGCCTCGCTGTGCGCTGCGTTGCACCGCTAGTCGAGTAGATAACCATGTGTTCAATAAACCCTCGGAGCCAGGATGACCGTCCAACTCCGATCGTCATTTATTGATTGTAACAGGTAAAACTGGTGAGAAAACACAGATACAGCATCTGTTATAATTCGGAAACACCCACACAATGAACACCACAGCATCAGAACATTGTCTCAGATAACAATAGATCCTGGAAGGACCAGGCCCCCACATTACCCCTGAACAACTAGACAAAGGCACAAGCTGGTGCGTTGCATACAGGCACATAGTGTATTCATCCCACTGCACCCCAAATGTACAGCATTACACTTAACACTAAACTGTGGATGAGATACTTCGTCATCACTCTCAGGATCGCAACATAAGCACAAGTCTGACTCGACCTACTAAATCACAAGTAACATCCACAATAAGGAAAGTCACAGGATTCGTTACTAACTAGGCCTCGTATTTACTACAACAACTTAACGGCACCAGAAAGGCATTTACATTGCTATAACGGTCATTCCAACATTACAACAGCATTTCCAATATTATAGGAATATAAACAACTTACAGATAATGCTTCTTAAGCTCCCACAATGGACAAGTGCGGCTGTGGTCTCACTGAGATGCGATGCGTGCCGCCATCTTGACTTATCTGTGTAATGGCTGACGCCCGCGTGGTACAGTGGAAATCTAACATCGTCACTTCCTGGTCACGTGACCAACATTAGCATAAAAAAACAGGAACTTCCTGTGAACGTACGCTTCCCATCTGCCGTGAGGCAAGACACACTGTACTGAATCGGACTTGGATCTTATGTTTGTTTAGAATTTTGGAGATCTTTTTGGTCATGCCTGCTATGTATGGTAACGTGATAGTTTTGGTCGGAATTTCATGT